TGGGACATTGTGATCCGAACTGTCGTCAAGCTTGACGATCCAGTCTAATGTAACGGTCGACCTGGCAAGTGTGCAGAGGAGTATCCGAGGGGCGGAGAAGTCTCTGCGTGTCGGAGGGCGATCGCTTCGGTGCTCCCGTCAGAGGCGCGAGCGAGGTTCGGGAACGGCGGGTTGCTACCGAGGGCGACTGTGAGCACCGTTGGCAGGCGTCCACGGTCAAGGATGACTACGGAAGTGAGCTGGAGAGGTGATCTGTCGATAGGCGTCGTATTCGCTAGGCAACGGTAGCCTCGGGCTCTCATGTCGATGGAAGACGAGCAAGCTGTGAGGACTGGTATTGACTAGACTGGATGAGGGGCATCCAGTCTACCGACGCGGAGGAGGACTGGGCTATATACTGTCTACCTACGGCGTCGAGGCATCCCTGCCTCGACCAATCAGGAATGGCCTCTATTGTCCTATTGTCCTCCATTGTCATCCCAGGGCGTTGCTCCAAGGTGGGACGCCACCGGCGTGGCCGAGGCCTAGTCCTTGGCCCTTGGAGCGGATCCGAGGAGTCCTCCTGGCAGCAGGAGCAACTGCGGATCCGCTAGGTGCGTGCTGACGCTGCCCCGGCGCGCAGAGGATTGCTGGCGGCCGATGATTCCTCTCCGCGTCCGCGCGGAGAGAATTCACCTTGTCTCCGGAAATCCTCTGCCCCGCTGGCCCGCGCCGCTCAGCCCCGATTGGGCCAGGGCTGTGACAATGTGGAGATCTGTTGGGCAAAGTGTCGAGAATGCTCGAAAATCGTCGGAAATCGACATTCTGCCCTCGCAAACTGCCTTACAGGTGTCCGATCAGGCTGTTCCAAGCATCATTGCAAGCCTGAGGATCAGGGCTAGCAGATGAGCAAGGCTGCAGGGTCTTTCACCCAGCAGATGTGGAGATCTGTTGGGCAAAGTGTCGAAAATGCTCAAAAATCATCGGAAATCAACATTCTGCCCTCGCAAACTGCCTTACAGGGGTCCAATCAGGCTGCTCCAAGCATCATTGCAAGCCTGAGGATCACAGCAAGCAGATGAGCAAGGTATCAAGGCCCTTGACTGGATGGATAATGTTCCTGATATCAGCGCATTGCCCCAACACAGGTCAAAGGATTTACGTAGTACAGCTGTGAGCAAACACATCAGCATGATGCCATAAAGCTTGTGAGGGCAAGAGGCCTTCATGATGTGCAATATGACAATGTGCATACTGTTTTGCAAGTCTTGGAGTGGTGGCCGAGGGTGGAAGGGGTTATGAAGTTCAACGAGCCGCGCGGCCTTGGCTGGTCCTCCGATTCCCGAACGGCGCTGCTCCGGGAAATGGCGAGCAATTTTGCGCGGCATTCGAGTTTTGCCGGGAGTCGGAGGCGCGGCACTGCCGCCAGTAGTAGTCTAGGCCCAGAATTAAGCTTTCCGGCGTGACTGGCGTGACTTTTGAGTGCCTGAGCCGCTTGCTTGCTTGATGCTCTGCCCTGCCAGGCCATGCGGGACGCGCGTCTCTGGCCCGCGACCTCGTGGGATCCCTCTCTCTTCCCCTCCGACTCTCATACAAGTGGTGTAGCGCAAGCACTTCATCTATCGTCATTGTCCTCATCCCGACGCCTTGCACGCATCCACACTGCCAATGAGGTCCTACGACGGCTGACGCGACCCTGTCTCGACTCGACACGCGAGGTCTCCAGCATCGCATTCGACACACCACCTTCGCGGCCAGTACCCTCCTCTGCTCGTCCCAAGGCGGCTCAGCGACGCTTCGTGCGCGACCGCAGCAACAGCATCACGCTCTACGAGCTACAGGCGGAGACTGCAGGCCAGGCCTTCCGTCCTCATCAGCACCCTCTCCGCCATGGCACCGGTCGCAACCAGCTCGTCGGACGATGAGCGTCCGCCGCCCTACTCGTCGACCCCCGCTGCCCCACCGGCATCTGGCGCGCCTCCTTCGCAGCGCACCGTCAGGGTGGCCATCATCGGTTCAGGCCTCACCGGCCTCGTGGCGACCTACCTCCTCACTTCAAAGCTCGCCCAGCGGTCGTCCGAGCGGCAGGATGAAGGGGCCCGTGCACGTTCGCCTTCCGTGCGCATCTGCGTAGAGATCTTTGAGCGCTCACAGACGCTCGGCATGGACAGCGCCAGCATCTCGGTACCCCTCAAGCTCGTCGACCCGCAGACGGCAGAGCACGACCTCAAGGATCGCCAGCCAAAGGTCAACGGCGGGCCCGGCTCCGCCAGCTCCTGGCCAGAGCGCCCCGGCAACAGCCTGGCCGCAGGTTGCGATGATTCAGCTACCGTCGCTGCCGCCGCCCCTGCTACGGCCGGCAAGTCGATGCGCATCGACGTGCCCATGCGCGCCTTCACCGGCGGATACTACCCGGAGCTGCTCGCCCTCTACCGCCATCTGGGCATCCGAGTCCGCCGCACCAACTTCACCTACTCGTTTGCGTCACTGCCGAGCCGGCTCGATGCTTCTACCGACTCCGCCTCGCCCGCGCTCGACAGCGGACCTGCGCCGTCGCTAATCTATAACGGCGCTTCCGGCCTCCGTGGCATCAGCATGCCATCTGCCATCTCGTGGCGTCGCTCCGACGAGGACAACTCGATTGCGGCCCGCCTGGCTGCCGCGTCGGCCTACTTTGGTCGCGTGCTGCTCATCGTCTTTTCCTATCTGCAATTGCTCCTGCTCGCATCCTGGCACCACCACCTCGGCCACACGTCGGATCCACACCATCCCATCTACACGATGACACTGCAGCAGTTTGCCCTCGACCCTCTCCCGTCAACGTCGCCCGCTTTCAAGAGCCAGCCGCCATCTCTGTGGCCGCTCGGCGGGTTGCGCCTTCCTCCGATGCTCCGCTCCTGGCTGGTCGTCTCGCCCGCCTTTCTGCACGCCACCGTCGTGCCGCTGTTCAGCGCCGTGATGACGTGCAGCGCCGAGTCGGTGTTGCAGAGCCCTGCGGCCGAGGTGCTCGACTACGTCGCGCTCACCTTTGGCAAGAACCACTACGTCGTGCGCGACGGCGTGCGCGAGGTGGTGCGGCGGTTGCTCGTCCACGTCCCCTCGCCTTCGACGGCGGTCGACGGCGAGGTGGAGACCGAAGGGCGAGAAAGAGAGCCGACCCATGCCGCAGCACGCTCCGGTGCGGCCTGCAAGGCAGACGCTGGCCCGCAGAGCCGCGTCTGGACGTCGGCCGAGGTGCGCAAGATCGAGCACCGCAATGGCAAGGCGTACATCACCGCATCGCACGACTTCACTGCCAGTCTGGACGACGGCGGCAGCGATGCCATCCCCACGCCCGCCTCTTCGGCCAACGCCACCGATTCCGAGGGCGACGACGATACGCCTGGCAGCCGCCATGCCTCATCGACGCCGCGCCGTCAGAGGGTGGAGCGGCAGCATGGCGGGTACGACCACCTCATCTTCGCCACGCAGGCCAATCAGGCGGCATCGTTCCTGGGCCAGTACACCGAGAGCCTGCGCGGCGCTGCAGCTCGCGGTGACGGAAAGGACGAGCAGCGGAAAGGCAAAGACGACGAGGAGCAAGCGACGGCGACGATCTCGAGACTCGAGGAGATGCGCGACCGCCTCCTCTCGTTCCGATACGAGCAGAGCGTCGTCGTCAACCACACCGACACGCGCGTCCTCCCGCCGTGCCGCGACGATTGGCGGGACCTCAACCTCGTCTCGCCGCTGTCGTCCAGCCTGTCTTTGTCGCCCTCGATGTCGAGCTCGAAACCCAGGACCGGGTCGAGTGCTCATCCTGCCGGGGACAAGAAGGAGTGGCGCGCAACGACGCACACGATGGCAACGCACATCCTCGTTTCGCCCCGCCATCCACACGGACGCGGGCAGGAGCAGGAATCGGATGGTCGATGCGTAGGAGGGGCCGGGGCCAGAGTGGGCAAGACGGTGATGCAGACCACCAACCCGCACACGTCGCTATTGCCGGACCGACGTCGCATCCTATCGCAGTCGCACTTTGAGCGGATTACGCTCAACGTCGATGCCAAACTGGCTCGACACCACCTCTTTTCACTCCCGCCGCCCGAGCAAGGGCGAGGGAGGACGAGGAAGCTCGAATTGGGAAAGTTACAGGGCCGTCCCACGGACGACGAGGGCAAGGGCGTGGGGGTATGGACGTGTGGAAGCTGGTCGGTCGGTATCCCCCTCCTCGAGGGATGCGTCGTCTCGGCACGTCTGGTCGTCGAAGCCCTCCTCGCACAGGAGGGCCTAGAAATCGAGGGTGGCCCGCCCTGGCTCACATCGTAGACCTGAATCGGATTGAAACGGAATGGAATGCATTCGAATCTCGACCGTGCTTGCTTCCTTG